CTAGTAGCATCCTTGCTCCTAGTAGCGATGCCAGGAGCCCCTAGTAGCTTCTTGTCACTAGTAGTAAGGCCAGGAGCCCCTAGTTACTAGTAGTAAGGCCAGGAGCCCCTAGTAGCATCCTGGCTCCTAGCAGCGATGCCAGGAGCCCCGAGTAGCTTCTTGTTACTAGTGGTAAGGCCAGGAGCCCCTAGTAGCATCCTTGCTCCTAGTAGCGATGCCAGGAGCCCCCAGTAGCTTCTTGTTATTAGCAGTAAGGCCAGGAGCCCCTAGTAGCATCCTTGCTCTTAGTAGCGATGCCAGGAGCCCCTAGTAGCTTCTTGTTACTAGTAGTAAGGCCAGGAGCCCCTAGTAGCATCCTTGCTCCTAGTAGCGATGCCAGGAGCTCCTAGTAGCTTCTTGTTACTAGTAGTAAGGCCACGAGCCCCTAGTAGCATCCTTGCTCCTAGCAGCGATGCCAGGAGCCCCTAGTAGCTTCTTGTTACTAGTAGTAAGGCCAGGAGCCCCTAGTAGCATCCTTGCTCCTAGTAGCGATGCCAGGAGCCCCTAGTAGTTTCTTGTTACTAGTAGTAAGGCTAAGAGCACTACTAGTAGCGTCCTTGCCTTAAGATGCCTTGTGGTGTGTGGACCTTTTATATAGTATACCAGGGCATACCATTACTGAACGAGATGGATTGAGGATCAAACTCATCCGACCCAACATCCCAAAAGATTGCATGGCGATTACTGTAGATCCGATTTTTGAGCATGGGGAGTCTTAGGCCGCTGGTTGGAGTCCAAGGGGGTGACATCTTGGGAGTTGGTGCCCCAGAAAGGGGAAAAAAGAGTTGAGATCTACTTGGGACTTGTGTGATCGTGATCTTCTATGATTCTTGCTGAAACGTGGAAAGGGGGTAGGTCGGTCAGTCGGTCGGTCGGTCGGTCGGTCTGAATCTCACTTAAGGCTCATATCTCTGAATGCCCAGAAGCAGAAGGCGGAGGTGCAACCGGGCAGGTTTTTGCGGTTTAGTCGAGGCATGTAGAGGCTGTGTCTCAGGTCTCTCCGTTGTATGGTGTTCGAAAGGCCGTGGACAATCAATCAAGAAGTGCCCGTTTTTTCCATGTTCTTCATGGAAATAGCAATCAAGTCATGCCAGGCCGCTGCGCAGAACGCTCGGGCAGCAGGTTGGTGGCCAATCCGTTGACCTGGCAAAAAAGTCCTTGAGTGGTTGAAGAAGCCTCTAGGTCCCTAGGTGTTGTGCACTCCCAAATTCTGTTCATGTCCCTGTTCCAATTCGACTGATGGAGAATAAGGCAGCAGTATAGTGCTTGCAAAGCCACGAGCCTGTTCAAGGGGCATGGAGAGCCTTTCGGAGCTCATGTTCAGGAAAAAGAGCCAAGTCAAGGCAACCAGGTCGCTGCAAGATATGCTGAGAGTAGAAACATGGCACAAACATCGAAGTGTAGCGAAGCATGGTCACTTTGTGTTAGCTGTTAGCTGGTTGGGGCTGCTTCGAGAGGCTTCACGATGCCATCACCAGAGGCGACTGCGCGTTTCCGAGTGTTCTTACGGACTGGAGTTTGAATTGCCGCTTGAAGATGAGGCTGCAAGGAGGTTTTCTTTGGGTTTGCAATCACGTGTCCCGATCACCCTCAAGAGGACACAGTCACATTGGAAAGCGTTTGCACTCATGGTAATCCTGCAACTTCACTTCTACCCCATCGAGCCGTGGCTGAGACATGCGCAATCATTCTAGCTCAAGTTTCATCGAGCTGAAGACTGTACTTCTGCAATTCGTGCAGTCCAATCCGCCAGGAAGGGAAGCTCAAGCAGCCAAGACAAGCCGAGATGAGCCAGGCTCCCGGACTGCCTTTGCAAAGGCTCGAGAGATTCAAGCTTGGGGTTTGCGAACTGTATTAGAGACTTCTTCACCTTTGGGGACCACAGTCCACGGCAAAAGCTCTTGCTTGCAGCTGAAGAGCATTCAGCATCCAACGGCCAGATTGCTTGAGGTTCCAATTCAACATTTTTTGCACGACGGAGGACGAGCAAGAAGCAGGTGAGCAGACTGTAGAATTCTTCGCATTTATCCTAGCATGCCATGCCCCTCAATCTCCCCACGACCCTGCCATGGCAGACGGGTCGGATGCAAATGATATCACACAAGTCATCAAATCCAGTCAGTCAATCATGGTCAGGGTGTGGACGGCCTTTGCTCGCCTTGCGAAGATCCAGACCTCTGTGTCGCTTATGCACTTTGTCCATTTTGTCGTCAGGCCAGAGTCCAGAGCGGGAACGGCAGAATCCCCTCAAAGGTTCAGTTGTAGTGGGTCCCGAACAGTTCGTCCTGCATGGTTATTTGTTCTACAATTACAAGGTTAATATAATGCTTTTATGTTCGGGATATTTTCTTTTGCTGGCACTGCACTGTTGCGCTTGGATGTCACTTTTCATGAAGCAGGCAGACACTTGGCACACCTTGGGCGTGCCACAGTGGCAGACCTACTGGAAGGTGCGTTTGACAGTCTTTTGTGTCTGTCATTCGGTGCGAGTGCAAAGCTAGTTGTAGCATGTTGTAGCCCTTTATATAATAGAACTGCCCGTTTGGAGACTGATCCAAGTTGGCAACCACTGCCGGTTCTGCAGAGTTCTTCTTGTCAACTTGTTGATAGCTCTTTGGTAGCAAAGTGCCGCAGGTCCTTGCCGCTTACGTTCTTTGCCCATGGTGCTTCCCTTGCCTAAACTTCTATGGGCGCTACCGTTTGCCCGACATGTATGCGCCGATCATGCATTGTGGGCCTTGTTTTGCCAGCGTAGAGGCATCGTGATATTGCCAGCTTTTAAATTTGGTGCCAGGCATCCGGCAAGCGTTTGGTATCCCGCTGGAGCCACACCGAGACTGCTGTGTTCATTGCCTTTGCTGTTGCTGTTGTACACCTTGCATCTTGGCCCAATTGGAGCACACTCCCGGTTGGTCTGTAGAGTCCTGTGACACAACCCCACGGTTGCAGATTGATTTGTGGCTTCAGGTGAACAACATAGGACCCGGCACTTGGCTTTGCACAGTCGCATTGTACTCCCAGGTGCACATTTGCAGGAAGCTCGCCTTGTAGATGCACCAGTTTTGTACTACCGCTGCAGGGGCGCCAATGCATGCTCTGTGCTGTGCAAGATTGTGTCACACTGTGTGTACCGAGTCTTGAAGCTCTAGGCCCGCTAGATGGGTGGACTAGTATGGACTAGTGAGAAGGCGCAAGATGCAGAAGGAGCGTTCTTGCAATTCACCAAGGCAAGCACAAACTGGCATTCTTCCACATTCGTGAAGCTCAATTGAAAGCCGAGAAAGCGGCTGCCGAGCTGGCTGAGCTGTAGAGATAGAGGTAGAGGTAGAGGGCGATATGAGCAAAGAACACAAAGCATGACCGCTCAAGCCGAACCAGAGGCAGCAGGCAGAGGCAGAGCTCAACTTAATGTTGACTGTTGACATTGTGAGCTTCCAATACCTTTTGACAATGCACATCAACAGGCCATTTACTGTAAGTCAAACCAGCCCAACAGCATGAAGGCAATGCATTGCACATCAAGATGCTGCAACATGCTGCAACGAATTCATTTGCGATTTCTGGGAGCCTTTGCGATGGTGTGAGGTCCTCGCGTGGTCTGCATTTGGCCAAGCCATTGCGACCCAAAGGTGCTCCAAAAGTAGGAGGAAGGATAAAGACTAATAAAGCAAAAAAAAAGCTTCGCCTTCCTGTAGTAGCAATTGCTGTGATGCACCACCCCGTATACGGATGGTAATATGATGGCATCGAGGTTACCTGCATTCGTATCTCACTCTATATATATAACATTATATGACTAGACTATATAGTATTAACCTATGTCAAGATGCAAGTCTTGAACACTCTTTTCGAGCCTCTTCATGACTGCCAGTAACATTAGCTGAAAAGGATTGAAAAAGCATGTCATGTTCCCCCAGCACAATGGAGACCTAACCAAGCATGGACAGATTTGAAGGGTCCGTGAACAACTTTGAGCCACATTTGTCAGATAATCCTGCAGACTTAAGAGGTTCTTTTTCGAGCGGCCACCTGTCAAGCCGGAGCCGGAGAAAGGCCCATTGGAATGTTTCAGGGTGATCGCGTGCGGGCGAGTTGGGGAGTGAAAACATATGACAACTCTGACAGTCAGCGGGAGATAAGCCAGACGCTGCGAGAGAGAAAGAGAGAGAGAGAGAGAAAAAGACACAGAAACAGAAACAGAAACAGAAAGAGAGGGAGTCGCCTCAAGTTCGGCGTGATGACCTCTTGTGCAAGAGATTTGAACATCATCCCTGGCAGGTTGATGGAGTTGTCGCCGAAGGTAGCGCCTGTGGCGGCTGTGCAAGGCAAGCAGGCAGGGTCCGGGTGCAACAAATGCTGTGGGAGTGTATGGCATTGTATGGCCGTCAATGGCCGTGCGGTTGGCTGGTGCATGACAATTGCCTTTGTTGCTTGCCTGGTGGGCAGGCCCGACACAGTGTGCAACTCTCGGGGCAAACTGTTCTGCGGCTTGGTGGTCAAGTGGTGCGTATATTAATATATACACGCTACAAAATCGTTCTTGTGTATGCACATGAAAGACATGTTAGCATGCCCAGGCGGACGCTTCCTGGCACCAACCGTTGTGGTGCCAGTGCAATTGGTGTGGCTGTGCTGGTGCGGGACTTTGCGGTGCTTGTGTGAAAGCTGTATGAAGTCCTGAGTCGACCTGCATTTTGAGGCCACGACTATTGGTGGAGCCACTAGGAGAAGGGCTCTGCGAGCGAGCAAGCGATCTGCACGCAAGGCAGCATCCAAGGAAGTAGGCAGTAGTCCTCCTTGGTTGCTTCGTTTGGTGTTCTGCAATGGGTCACCATCCAAAGAGAATCTTGAACATGTTGGTGCCGTTGTCAGCGTTGGCAGGTCGTGACATCCCTAGTGCGGGCACTTAGATTGAAGAATCGTGGTTGCAACCATAATATTTCAAGACTCAGACACTCAAATACTCCAAGGTTTTAAGGAGTCCACATGGGGAAAAGACATGAAAAGAACCAAAAGCTTCAGAGCTGTGACATTTTTGGCTCAGTTTTGCTCCCGCCTTTGCTCCATAAGGCCTCCCAAGGCGATGATTTCGATGTGGTTGTGGTGGGTGCGGGCGTCTCCGGCCTCACGGCGGCCCACCGGTGCGCAAGGGTGGATTTGGGCAGAATAGCTGGTGTCTTTGAAACGCTTCACTCATAGCGTCCTTGCTCCTAGTAGTAAGGCCAGGAGCCCCTAGTAGCGTCCTTGCTCCTATAGTTCTGAAAATGAAGTTCTGATTGTCTCATTGTTCATTTGTGTTGGACATGGTGGACTGTGGGACCAAAGAAGGAGGTTTCCGTTCGCCTGTGTCCTTTGCTATGCACTGGCATTGTCGAACTCGGATCAATGATGGATGCCTCGTGGTGCATCTGAGATTCTGAACAAATTTTGCTCTTTTCGGCTCGAGTGGGGTGACGATATGGCGCTGCCAACGCTACGGAAGCCAGTCATTTGGCACTTGAAGCCGTTGGCTATTTTCACAAGTCCATGGGTCCAGACCAGCGTTCCATTGGTGGGGTTTGAATTTTGTGAGAGAATCCCAATGGAACTTTCTTGGAGGGCACTTTCTACCTTATGTGCAAGTACAAAAGGCACAATCTTGCCTAGTAACTAGTAAGTCTAGTATGGCTATGCCGGATATGCCTGTGGTTGAAAGCCTGGTTACTTGCCCCTGAGGTGTCAATCTCGAGGCCGAAGCGAGGCTGGATCAATCAAGCGAGGCTGAAAAGAATCATGGGACAGTCTGGTTCCGCTGTGAGTCTGTGTCATTTCAGTTTGATGTCCTTGCCTGCTGCTATGCAATCAGGTAGGCATGGCGTGTTTGCCGGTTTGGGGGAGGATGAGCCCAGCACCCTGGCCAAGAAACAGTTCCCAATGGGCCCTTCGGCAGCATTGCACAAGGGTCGCAAAACCAAGGCCTTGAGGAGTTTAAGCCGAGTCTCTTCTCAGAAGCCTCTACTTGGTCGCAAGCCAGCTGGACCGGGCCTCATCATATCAGTTGCTCCCTGTGGATTCAATGCTACAACTTAATGCCAGCGGTTGAGCAACAACAAAACACAGCTCTACACTGAAATTATTGGACCAAGCCATTTGCCATCACCAAGAAAGAATGTGTCCTTCTTTTTTCGAGCGGCTTCAGGACATCGGCCCTGTCGTCACAACCACGGAACATGGGCCCGTTTGACCCTGAAGAGACAGCGGACATGGAGCTGGCGCCCAGGGGTTGGGCAAGGCGGCACGATGTCCGGCTTCGCCGACTGCGATATGTTCTGCGTCAGCGTTTCACAAGCGAACCTGTTCTTTTGGGCCTTCAGCATGCAATTGTGAACAGTGAACATACAATTGCCTCCACTGTGGATCCGTCAAAGCAATTATCAGTCCCCGAGTCCCGATTGTATCTCCACATCCACCTGTCCGCAGATTGGAGTCCACCCATGTCCGCTCGGGTATCAGGCAAATACGGCCCGTTGACCATCGGACCACCGATGTGCGAGTGCCTCAGATCCCTTAGAGCGGATGCAAGAGAGGAAGCACTTGGTGGAATGAAGTGCCGTCACATGCGGTAGCCACGGTTGTCCACCATTGCAATATATGGCAATAAATCCCAAACTGCTGACATCTCAGGAAGCGCCTCCGCCCCGACGAGGCGGAACTTGCAGAGGCAAAGCGAGCCCTACGCGGCGTGAGACCTGGCGACGCTTGGAGGAGGTCTTGGGACCAAACTCCTTTTCTGCTGCAGGTGGCCACAGATAATGTTGCCGCATGTTTCGGTGCTTTTGGCAACCGCATGTTTGATGCACACTCCACAATATTCTTGAGCATGTGTGACCCACACTGAGACGAAGACGAGTTGAAAACATAGCTGCCTGCACAAACGCCAAGGATTGGAACTCCGAAGCGTTTGCACATTACAAGAAGAAACTTACGAAGGAGGTGAGGTGTCTACCGGGGGTCTATAGATGAAACGCCATGTGGGGGTCACTTGCCGTTGCGATGCACAATGCTAATCGCCCGTTTGAATGCATCGTGACCATCGTGCAGGGACGATGGCTTGCGCTGCCTGGTCTTGTGGATATGGTTCGTCGGACATCGGACGAAGCATTGAAGGAGACTTGGTGGAACATTTGCGGACTGAGCTTTGGAACCGTTTTTTTGGTTCTTTTTCAAGATTCAAGTTGCAGATTTAACATAGCAGATTTAACATAGCAGATGATGAGGAAGCGTGCTACTTGTTGCCATGATGGTGTCTGAAGGGTAGCATACGTCCGTATATATATATATATACGTGTCTAAACAATTCACACATCCAGATACAAACAAATCTTGTACCACAGACCGGTTGGGGCGGTGGGCTAACCTTCCATGATGCCGTTTTGTTGCCTTTTCTCAGGCAGGAGGCTATTGCCTTCCAAAGAACAAGACTGCGCAGGCTCTGCAAATCGTGCCTGTCCTATGACCGCGCCATGAATCACACAATTCTATTGCTCCAGGTGAGGCTGCCACAGAAGCCCAGTGTGCAGTGGGTGAGCATGGAGAGCTGCACAGAGCCAGATCCATGCCAAGGAGTTGTACCTCCACCGTGTCTTGGCAAGAAGCATGAGATGTTGTTAACACTGGTTGTTGCTGTGGCACAGGTTGGTAGTCTCTCACAAGACGCCGCTGGAGGCTGCAGGCATTGGTGAGCTGTGGTATTGTGAAAGAACAGCCAAAATGCCCAATGGACCTTTGCACATCAATTTGCGGGCTGTCCTAAGCTGCAGTCTTGCGGGGACATTGGGAACCTGGGAACCTTTAGTTGAGCTGCACGCTAATTTGTGCCCTTTCTGGCTGGACACTGGCTGTCAAGGCGTTTTGGGCAAGCACTTTGAGGGCCATCCATTGATCGTCACCTTCGAGGCAGAGATGCTGGTTTTCATCTCTGACAATGTTAAGAAAGCTGTTTCTTGGCGAAGGCCACGGAGTTTGACACCGGAGCGGAATCGGAAATGAAGAAGGGACAAATCTTGGAGGGCGAGGCGCGATTCTAGTGATGAGGGAATTCCACGCAACACCACTTCCTTTTATTGAGGAAATTTGGCAGTGCAGTCTTCCGGTTGACTTTGGGGTAAACTGCAAACAACCAATGACCCACGAAGCAGCACAACTGGCACAACTTGATAAATCTACAATAGGTGCCTCAAGGTAGATTTTGCACAGATTTTGCCAGTAGTAAGACGCAGAAAGCCGCCATGGGTCTTGCCTTCACCAAGATATGGCAGCGAATGATTGGGAAGCAGGAGATGCGAATCCTGATGGTGGGTTTGGATGCTGCAGGTAAGACGACGATCCTCTACAAGCTGAAGCTCGGTGAGGTTGTGACAACAATCCCAACCATTGGCTTTAACGTGGAGACTGTGGAGTATAAGAACCTGTCCTTCACCGTTTCCTGGGATTGCTGAAGCATATTTTTTGTTTTCTCATTTGGCGAACTCCCTTGCAAACAACGGTGCCGTTGAGATACACATTTTGTGATCTCCAGGACTCTCAAGCCAATTTAAGGGGAATCCTAGCCATTGTTTGCTGCACAACAAAATCACGCGCTTGAGGTGTGGGACGTCGGAGGCCAGGACAAGATCCGCCCTTTGTGGCGACACTACTATCAAGGCACCAACGGTCTCATCTACGTTGTGGACAGCAATGACCGTGATCGCATTGAGGATGCTCGCGAAGAGTTGACGAAAATGCTCAACGAAGACGAGATGCGAGATGCCGTGCTGCTGGTCTTTGCGAACAAGCAGGACTGAGAGCACACAAAAAGAAACAAGATCACACAATATCATATACTGTAGTTCATGCAG